CCCCCCCCCCCCCCGCCCCCCTGCAGGTAGAGACCCTTCGTAACTCATCTTTAAGAACATTGTAACGAAGGACATGCATATCAATGGCTCTGAATAACTCGATTCACTTTCAATTCAATTCAGACTTTATTTCATGAGGGTAAACACTTATTTCATGAGTGTAAACACTTATTTATTTCATGAGGGTAAACACTTTATTTCATGAGGGTAAACACTGTGCCGCAGGTTATATTCGTCTGATGCAGAGGATTTATTGTTCCCAACGAGGTTGATACAAAACAATCTATGTTTACAACTAAGTTCATCTTTAAAGTTTCAGTTTAAGTCGCTTTGAAATTATTACATTCGGTCCTTGTGTCTTGAAAAGAACAATGAAAAGTGGTTGGGTATTCTGTAATTACTCCGAAAAGCTAGGATTTTGTATGCTTCATTGTGCGACTGTTTTTACGCGACTAGTGCGCAGATTCCTAACAACTTGATATAGCACTGAATATCTCAACTACCTGTGGCAAAGTTTTCAATAAATATATTTGGAAAGGCTTTTTAAAAGCCTTTCCAAATATATTTATTGAAAAATCGTACTAAATATTTATTTAAAAATCGTAGTAACTTTATAGCATTAAAAGCCCAAAAACCATTTTAATGTTTACAAATTGCGCCGTTCGAAGTATATTATTATTAAATTTACTTTATAGATTCACGCGCAATCTATCTCGCGAACGCGTACTCTCACTAACGGATTTTGTCAGTATGGTATGGTAGATAAAAAGTCTAAGAACACCACCAGTCTGCACAAAGATATGCTACTTTCCCAAGTTAGGTCATCTTAAAATCGATATGAAAATTTACGGTTACTGAAAATACCGTTTTCCTGCAAATGCCGCTTTGTTTGATATTATAAGGCCATTTGCCATTACAGAGGACTGTACTACAGTTTGCGTGCATGATGTATAATTATATATAGTTCATCTTTATAAGAATTTTCTGAAGTTAGATTTATCGGCAAAACGCGAGAAACCTGAAAGGGGGGCCTGGGGGCATGTTCCCCTACCTCAGACGATTTTTGATCTTCTAAGCTTAAAAAACGCTTTTTCCTGCATTTTCTGGCCACTGTTTAATGACGATTGGCCCTGTGGCTGCAATCACAGAGATAAGATACAGTTGTGTAAATTATAGCCTTTATGTAATTCCTGTAGTTAATAATCACAAAGACAACATATATGTGGTGATTGACAGTTATAGATATATAAATTATAATTTATATAATAAAGGACAATGCCCGAGAAAAAAGGACACGTGTTATTAGGGCACGAAGGAAGAAACATTCAGTTTGTATTTGTAAGTAAAGGAATAAATATATAATATTGTGACGTGTGTGTTTTATGAGTACATTGGCGACGAGGATAAATTATGGCAATGAATGACTTACAGCCAATGCCTTTCTTCAAACCGAAAACTGATCCAACGAATACAAGCGCTCCATGGATAAAGTGGATTCAACATTTTAATACATATTTAGTCGCTTCGAATGTGAAGGACGCTGCATGCGGTAAAAGAGCACTACTATTAGTATCAAGCTGGACCTGAAGTTCACGAGACATTCAAAACATTGCTAGCTGACACAGGAGATGATAAAGATTGCGAAGAAGTTTTCAATGCCCTCACTGCATATTTTGAACCGTACGGAGAAAAATCGAATCTACCAAACATATATGTTTAGACAAGCATCTCAACAAGATAATGAAACCATCGACGAATCTCACACACGCTTGAGACGATTAGCAAAACATTGTGAGTTCGCGGATGTTGAATTCGAAATCAAAATGCAAATTGTGTAACCGTACCGCGAGAATGAGTAAGAAAGCGTTGAAAGAAAGTAATTATTCACTCAAAGATATGTTGATCGATGATCGCTGTGCACAAGCCAGTGCAGAGCATGCACGAAATATTTAAGGATGTCCAACTTAATCAAGTTAATTGAGAGAAAACCTGCTGACAGTTGATGTTATTGACTCCAAAACCTATGATCGCCTCAAATCCCAGCGTCAAATTATGCAAAAGTACGACCAAGATATTCGCTTATGGCTCGGACAAACCACAACCACTACCTCTTAAAGGTTAATTTCAAGCAACGGTAGAATCAAATAAACGTTATACTGTCTCTGTTATTGATGTTGCCAAAAGCGGCTCTGGAAATCTACTTAATGCGAAAATCCAGGCGATTATTGATCATAAATACGCAATTGCTGGGAAATTGAACAATCAATGAGTATATGCAATGATGTATCAGCCGTTAAAGAAAACCCCAAGGCACCCCAAAGGACGGTGAAGCCGTGGAGCACGAATCTGTGTTGACATGTGAGCAGTCAACCAAGCGACTGAGCGCGCGAAAGACACGTCAGTGCTAGCGCTTTCTGATTTCCGTGCAGAAATGAATGGATCAAAATGTTTTTCGAAAATTGATCTAAAACAGTTGGTACCGTCAACTGGAATTTGTACGTTTGGTTTAATTTTCATGGCAAATGGAACGAGACCAGATCCAGCAAGAATTGACAACTTAGTCAAAATCAGTGCACCAAAGAATACAAGCGACGTAGTTTTCGGGTGACAGTGTCGTGATTTTGTAACTTTGTGACTCGTGACTTTGTGAAAGTGTGAACTTCTACAATGTGTTCCCCAATCCCCGCAGTTCCAGAGTTTCGAAGCTTGCTTATCGTTGATGGATCTCCCCTCGGAGTTTGCGCTATTTTAGAACAACGCGAGAAGTAAGGAAAATCGTACCGCATTATTTCCTAGAGCCCTGTGACCTGTCTCCAATCGGAAGTCGATACTAACAGACTGACATCGTAGGGTTGAGCTTAGTGTGGGGGATTAACTGTTTCTTCTGGGTATTGAATTCGATGTTTATATACTGACCACAAAGCTCTGGAAGCAATCTTCAATGATCCAAGATCAAAACCCCCAGCTCGTATTAAACGCTGGATGCTACGACTGCAACCGTATCACTTCCGTGTAATTTACAAGAAAGAAACAGTTAACGAAGCCGATTACCTGAGCCGTCATCCTACCACCACCCAAAGAAAAACTACAATCTTAGAAAAAATTGCCGATAATTATGTGATTTACATCATATTAACAACTCACTGAAGGGCTTGAATTTGGGTTCTTCTATTAATTTATTGTACAATAAATTAATCATTAACAATGCTGTACCGAAGTCAAGTGGTATATACTTCAAGATATCATGGAAGCCACCTTGTCAGACACCGTATTAAAAAGTCTTAGAATGCTTGAAATCAGAGAAATGACAGGAGAAGTATGTAGAACTAAAACCTTGTCATGTATGCGGAAGAAGTAGCAGGAGACCTTCTCAAAGGGAGCAGAACGGTTATACCAAAAGCGCTAGAAGACCGTGCGACGCAACTCGGACATGTCGGACATCAGGGAATAGAAAAGACTAAGGCGTTATTGGGAGAAAAAGTATGGTATCATCAGGGCCGCAGAGAGGTTGGCGAGGGCCCGGGGCAAATATTTTTTGAGGGGCCCCCTATCCCAAAAAATTTTTCCCGGAAAAATTTTTTTCCGTAGAACAACCTCCCCCCCCCCCGTCACCAAAAAATTCCGGTCAGTGTACCATTTTAGGGGTAAAAAATTTTTCCGGACTACAAAATTTCTCCAGACAAGTGCCTTCCTATTGCTTTTCAAGCGGACTTTATCTCATTTTTATATGCCAAATTTCGGTACTTAGCTCAAGAAAACAGATATCTTGTCCTTTGCGTGGAAATATTTAACACACAAAAAAGACTGGGGCCCAACAAAAATTTTTCAGGGGCCCCCAGCACCTCGGGGCAATTTGCCTCCTCTGCCCCCCCTCTCGGCGGCCCTGGGTATCATGGTAAAGTAAAGACCCTTATTGAAAACTGTGTTGCTTGTCAAGCTGTTGGTCCAAGTAATCCACCTGAATGTATGAGAATCACCCCTACCGCGATGGAGCCATGGCAAAGCTTAGCAATAGATTTTTAAGGTCCTATACCACATAGTGAACAGTACTTACTCACTCGTCGCGACTGACACCTACTCTAAGTTTCCAGAAGTGGAGATTGTTAAGTCAACTTCAGCGAAAGCCTGCATCCCGAAGTTAGACTGCATAGTTTCAACTCATGGTATACCCAAAAAGATTAAAACTGACAATGGACCACCTTTTAATGGGAATGAGTTTAAACGATACATGGCTGCCTTAGGAATTGAGTGGAAAACAAGCACTCCATTGTGGCCGGCCCCAAGGCAATGGAAATGCCGAATATGTGATGAAGCCGTTAGGAAAAGTGATAAAGACTTCCATGTTACAGGAAAGAATTGGAGACAAGAACTTGAAATATTTCTATTAAATTACCGCTTAGCGCCTCATGCCACTACAAAGATACCTCCGTGTGAACGGCCTTGACTAAAAGTACACACGAGTGACCACAGATGGACCACGAGTGATAACAAGCCGTTTCGGGACAGATTGTTAGAAAAGGCGAAAAACGTTTTGTTTTCGTGATTTCTCTACCGAGTAGGCGAGTACCGGGAATAACACTCGGCATAAAATATATACCCAAGTTGTAAGTATTTATATTTTTCACCACTTAACTCTTTTCCTTACATCACAATAACAACTTATGCATGCCAGTAAAGGATTTGATATGACAAAATAGGATATGTTGTTAATATTGTAAAATCACGCAACTGGTGTGATACAGATTTGTTAATTTGTACATTTCACATGTACATTTCACTGAGTTGTTATTAGAGTTTAGAGAAAGAGTTGAGTTTTATTATTATTTTATGATTTTCAAACACAGAAATCACTCGTGGTTATTGGTGATCATTCGTGGTCACTCGTGTGTACTTTTAGACAAGATCGGCATGCGTCAGTGTTATTGTGATGTAAGAAAAAGAGTTGAGTTGCGAAAATATAGTAATGTGTTTAAACCCGTAAACGAACAAAGTAGTGAAGAGAAGCCAACTACCGTGGATGATGTACATGAGAACGGGCTCGGAGATGATATGCAGCCGACATCAAGAAGATCAACGAGAAATCAACGACCTGTAAATAGATTTGGTCACTCAATACCATCTCGACTTATTTCATAGAACTTTAGTATGATATGAACAATAACAAACAATTCATAGTTATTCCGTTGAGTTTTGTTAATGAGAGAGCAATGTGGTGATTGACAGTTATACATGTAATTTACATAATAAAGACTATACACGTGAAGAAAGAGGACATTGGACACATGTTATTAGGGCGCGAAGGAAGAAACATTCAGTTTGTATTTGTAAGTAAAGAAAGGAATAGATAATTGTAACGAGTGTGTTTGATTTCTACAATCAGGGCAGGAATTTCAGCAGACAAAAATGTCCTGCAAACCAACGGAGTACATATAGTGTTATAGCTGACCATGGTTTTAAATTCATGGTTTTAAATGAATGTCTGTCAAACATACGTTGTTGCCCCCATAGTGGGACATGGGTGTTAAGGGTTGTTTACCATTTACATGGAAAACCCATCCGGTTTGAAATTGTGCTAATGGTAAGCAAAATTTCGGATAGAAAATCCCATTCGGATAATGCGCTTTCCATTTAGAGTGACTGACCGGAAGGCACTGAAGGGTTGTTTACCATTTACATGAAAAACCCATCCGGTTTGAATGAAAAAGTGGTGAAAAAAATAAAAAATCTAAATGGAACAAAATTCACCGGTTCTGGCCAAATTCATAACCGGATACCATAAAAACATGATAAGAAAACAATGTCCAGTTCTAGAACTAGCGAATCAGATGCCAGTTCGGAATATGGATTTGGCCAGAGCCCCTCGTCGCACCGCGCGTAAGAAGGGCTCTGGGTACGAGAATGCGGTTGAAACGTTCCAATCGGTAAGAGAGGACAACCTTTTCAAACAAACCATTCATTCCGGAAAAGTTCCGGTTGGGCAGTCGAAATATGCTTGTTCCATTTACTGTCCGTATGAAATCACCGGAATTTCCATGTAAATGGTAAACAACCAAGGTTTCCTTCAAATTTTCAATAGCAAATCTTCAGTCAAACAGATCTCCTGCAGCTGTTCAACATTTCCTGCGCAGTGCTCGCCTATTTTTTCACCCCTTTCTACAATATCTAATTATTTATTGAACACGTGCACCATATTTTCATTCTAATAACTTTCTAAAAATTTCATAACCAGCATGTATGGTATAAAGTTTACGCATTTGTGCACACAAAATGTAGAAAAAGATGTGTCTGTTCTTGCTCGCTTCTACTATATCACAAATGGACAGTTTTTAATTGTTCGAGTTGCCGAAGCAACCGTAAATTTTCCACACGACACCATGGAAACAGAATTTCTTCCTCACGTCATATCCCCATGGTAACATTATATTCCTTCCGAGTACCAGAATCTAGCCCGGTTGTCGTCACTGCACGATATGAAAGCGGTTGCAGTTGGGGAGTGTTGTAGACAGCCAATCGTGTTTGTATGACCTGAATGGAATTATGTACCGAAAAGTAGGTAAGTACCATCATTAACATGCCATACGACGCAATAATATACTATAATTTGTGTTTTCACATCATACAATACAGCAACGCACTTTACCATACCATAGTACCATACTATACTTTACCACACAATATTATATCACATCATAGCTTACGACAAAACACCAAACAATACCATGCCATACCACACAGCTGTTCACTGTATATTATGCCATAATATACCATGCAATATTGCAAATACCATACCATATGCAAGTAGCAATACTGTCCAGTAATGTTTACCGAAACCTACCATAACCAAGCTTAAACTTTAAGCTTCTCGAGCCGCAACGAACAAATTTCTCCTACCTGAAGGAAGTACTTTGAGTTTCTCTGTACTCCTGGTGTCCCAACACGCGATTTTAGGACTGTGTAGGTCAGTACTGTCTGGCATTAGAACTAGAATGTATCAAGGACATATAGATTAATTAAATGTTGGATAAATAAAGGATTAATACAAGATTGAATTGTAAGGCACAGGCTTTTGGGGGAAATTGGCACCCCCTGGCATAACCCGTTGCAAAAACTAGGAGGGTGCAACCCCTGCATCGCAGAAAATCTATCCCTGAACCAACTTACTGTAATCCTCCGTATGATTGAATGTTGCACCAACAGCATATTGTGGTGCAGCTTTTGCTCCTGTATACATGCTGACAGCTCGACCTAGAGAGAATAAAATGCATGCGATATTTACCACTCAGTATTCTTGTATATGTGATAATTCAGGGCATAGTCTATCAAGATGGTATGGCTCATTCTGTTAGGTTTTTCTTTGAGTTTATGTTAGTTTGTGCACTGTCGCGGTGATTGGGCTTATTGTATTTTCGTATAATAAAGTGATCGTCCAACCGAGATGAAACGTGCAATCACGATAAATAATATTCAATGAAGCGAAACAAATTATTTGTGCATGGTGAGGTACAGTTCAACATCAAACAAATGCTTCCTGTTGTTTTGTGCTTTTGAAGTTTGCCTGCATGGACCTGTGGTTCGCTGGAACACTGGTTTCTGGCTTTCTATGTAATGGTCTTAAAGAACAAACGAACGAACTGACGAACGAACGAAAGAAAGGAATGATTGATGGATTTGTCTTGTATTTTACCTGTAGACAGCTCCCAAAGGAATATTAATGAATCTTTGCCACTCGTAAGTAAGTACTACAAAATATCATTCATTTTATTACATTAGGTAATAGACAATGGCATAAAAGATAACTGAAACACTAACATCGATAAGCTGAATTTTGTCAACAAATTGTTATGATCTTACCTTTGAATTCTTTGAGAATCTAACTGCAGAAACCTAAGATTTGACCAAAGGGAAAGTGTTAAGATATTTAAGAGTACAGTACTACTAATCCCCATAATTTTTGATGTGAAGTATTTGGGTCATTCCGAAAAGAAATGCAATATATCTTTAGAGTAAAGAAAACCTCATCTTGATCAACTTTTTCACTGTCAAAGTTGCTGTATATGATGTCAATTGATGAATTGCAAATTAGTTTCCCTGGATTGTATAGTACGTTTCTTCCCAATTATAACTCGAATAATACACATGCAAAATATTGTACACTTACCATTTTGGGTAAGTGTTACATTAATGTTGTATCAGAACCGTGATACTCTACATGCAGCTTATACAAATCATGACAGTGTCATTTCTTTGCTCGGTGATATTTTACCTCGTTTCCATTGTGTGCATTAGGAAATGTTGAAATGCAACGATTACTGACGCCATCCCAAACCTAGACGAAAGAAGCGAGATTCAGTATTAAATCGCCTATCTAATAAGCTGATCATTTATGAATGTTTGAATGATATGCAATGATTGTCTCAACTCACTTTTATTGATCCATCTTTGCTGGTTGATGCATACAGATGACCAGATGGTGAATAACTGACCTAGATTTTTGAACAAACGCAGAACATACTATGACCACCTTCAGTTGCAACCAATTCAGAATTTTAAATTTTAAAGTCTTGCCATCTTGTACCTGTGTGATTGGTCCGTTGTGATATTCTTTCGGGTTACTCGCAACATAACATTGTAACGTGTTTATTTCATATAGACGTACTTTAAGAAAGATAAAGTAGAAATTCTTAAAAGAATTGTAACAGTTGGTTAAAAACAACGGTTAGTGCGTGTATATATTTTATCTCTGTGACCGCGGGGTAATTCGATTCCTGCAATGTGCATCGGAGATAGGGTTGGTAGCATTAGGGATAGACCCAGCGATACCTGGTGGGGAATGGTCATCGAACTTTGGTCATGATTCAAGGTGTGAGGGTTGATCAAATACAAAATCACTAAAACTAGCTAAGGTAGCAAGGCAGTAGCCTGTAGTCGAATGTTTGACAACTTCACATTGTCAAACAGGTTGTTACTCTCATTTTCTCTCTATTCATTTCTTTTTGTAATCAGAAACACCCTTGCCATCCTCTTTGCCAAGGCTAGGAGGGGTGTACACTGTCCCCTCTCCTCAGTAAATCTATCCCTCGATCGCATATGGGAGAGTGCTTACAGTCTTTCTGTGCCAAATAACATACAGCTAGTAGGTGTTCTGTGCTTATTGGTGGTAATAAAGGAATAAAGAATCGACCTTACTGTTCCTATAAGGAAACCAATTTAGAACTGACCGATCGAGCTATCCAGTATCAAACGTTTACGGTAAACCCTCAAAATTCAGCACTTACTAGTCGGGTGCTCGGTGCCAACAAGAAGAAAATCACCCGAGGGATGAAACGATAAACTTCGGATTGTTTCAACTTCCTTAAAACATATAAATACAGTATAGTTGTTGAGGTGTCTCGTTTGGAGTTTAATAGTTAGTAATTTGTTTTGCCAATAATACAAGTTATCAAATCTACAGTGTATCACAGTGGCGGGAACTTCGTGAAATAGTGGAGGAAAGAGGAAGAGGGGTGGTTACTGAAACTGATGCATTACCTGTATTGATCTGTATGCTTTCTTTATGGAAGGTTTAGAAATGTCGAAGAATTTGATTGTGAAATCGCGACTGCCAGACACGAGAACGGGTGAAGAGGGATGAAATGCCATCGTCGTTACTTCCTGAAATATTGATTTGTGGAATTCACTTTAAGAATAGTACGTTGCAAGGCTTTTTGTTGAGATGGAATGTCCAGTTTAGATAGTTTTGGACAATAAACTGTCTTAGTTGGTGTCTCTGTGAATATACTAATTACCGAGGGCTCATTTTTTTAATACCTTGAATCTCGATACGCATTTTATTTATCTAAACTGACTAGTATTTAGTTTTCAATGTTGATGGATTCTTGTAGATGGAAATTTGAGGAAAAGTTTCCATACAATTCTAGACCTGACCCGCTGACCGCGAGGAGCTCGTTAATAGGGAGTTTAAGCTTCACGTTTCCGGGAACGGCAAACGGCATGTTCGAATTTTCTTGGTAAAATTTTCGTTGAACGTTTTCGTTTCATATTTTTTTCTTGTGTTAAAAACAGTTTTAAAACGGTAAGTTAATTTACTCTTTATTGCCTGATACCGTAAAAGTTTTCTTTGCCTGCCGTTTGACGTATAAAGCGAAACTTAAACTCTCTAATGTTTGAAAGCCCGGAACAAGAAAATAAAGGGTAAATAATCAGAGCAGATTGGTGGGTAATGAGCTAACACATACATCAACATGATCATATAAAGTTCTAATCACTGGGTGGTTCTCCATTCCCAGCATTCCATGGTCTTTGGAACTGGGCGTGGTCGTCTTCACAATCATCCGATCTACATCCAAGACCTGGAATAAAAATATCAGTACAAAAATATCATACATAATCTTTATAAATTACCGAGCAAAACAAAAATCTGTGTAGAAATGGAAATTCATACTTTGATAGAACAGTCTGCTGATCCTGTTGCAATCAGTTTACCTAGAATAGAATTACAGTTACAATGTACTGTAAAATATAATTTAATTTAACCCAAACGAGTGCCAGTGCTCTCTTCTTGATGAGTAAAATCATCTGCTGACATTAGACAGAGTAAACAATAAAGTAGGGTGCAAAACAACTTAATGGATTAACTAGACACATGGGCAGAGTCTGATTAACCCATTCAATACCAGTATTCTCCCCTTGATAGATACAGTAAAATCATCTGGCACTAGACAGAGTAATAACTAAGGTAGGGTGCTTGTCATATACATGTTTTCTAAACTTTACCAAATAATAATTGCTGAAAGAAATTAAGGAGATTAAGGAAAAATTTCATCAAATATCAATATTTTTGAAATACTGATATATCGACTCATCACAGGAGTGAATAAGTATAGTAATTAATGCACTAATAATGGCAAACCATATATTAACCTACCATCGTCAGTAAAGCAGGCAGCTCTACATGGTCCTTTATGAGCCGTCACATAATACGTCTCATACATTCCAATTTCGGGAGCTTTTGAGCCTTCTAAAATATGTTATAGAGATGTATGTACAGTAGATAATACAGTAGGTAATATAAATATATATTTTTGATGTGGCCACTTTTATATTCTTGGCCATAATATTCATTTGAAAATTAATATCTTCTTTTGAAAGGCAAAAAGTAACTAGGTTTCTGATTTTCTGACCCTTTTGGCCACTGAAATCACTGACCATAATCTTTTTACCTCAAGTTTGGAAATAACTTGTTTTTACTAATAATATTTTCCAAATAATATCATCTCAAGATGTGCATTATTAAAAAAAATATTTGCAACAAGAGAGAGGAACCGAGCTGTTTTTTTTTGTCTTGAATTGTTTGAGAAATAGAATAGAAATGAAAACGATGCTTATCATAATGATATTTACCCTTAGGCATAGCCTCTAGGTCAAATCCATTAATCCCACAGCTAATAGGAGGTGTAAGTCCAGGTAATTTAGCGTCGATCTGGTCCGCATTTGAATCTAGAAAACAAAAGTATTCAATCACATTGAACACTGAAGGGTTCAATTCGTATATAGCATATTATACTTGATAGTACTGGGCTTTGATTATCAATTGCTTAGTGTTTAATCAGTACATATATGAGCTGGCACATGTTGATTCCACAAAACACCATAGGTTTTCTCCAGGTCCTCTGGTGTCCTCCATAAGTAATATTACACCAATAACAGATAACAAAACGTTGGTTATTTACCAAATGGTATTTTATTTTTTCCTGTGTAATGATATCATTCAATTTGATTATATCTGCCATCAGTGCATGGCCCAACAATTTAGTGCCACTATGCAAATTCAAAATTATTATCATTCATTTCTTTAGAAATTGATTGTTTTCAGGCAATGAATATGAAAATATTTGCATAGCAGGACTAAATCGTCAGGCTGGCTACGCTGCTGTCTGCCATACCTTCGGTTTGTTTTGCTTTATTTACTTGCTGAAAGAGATGGGCAGAAGGTGGACATGGAGCTTTGGGCCTGACATCCTGCGTCAATTTCATTGCGACTTCTTCCAAGCCATCATATCGTAATTGACTTTATAAATTCAAGGTGATGAGAAATGGTTAGCAATTTATATTCAATGGATTGCTTGTTTGGCTAGGTGGACCTGTATTAAACTTAGAAAGAATTCTCAAATGGCAATTGAACTTGCAGGGCTCTCTATCAATGTGTACAAGTTCTCCATCAATACACCCTTTTGATAATTATGTTATAAATCCCTCCCTGGCCCAGAAGCATGAGTCATGAGTGAATAGCCTAGATTCACGAGAGTGAGATTCCAGCCCAAGGAAGTAATTTGTGGTGTGCGCGAAATTATACCAAACACCACCGATTTTCTTTGGGACTACTCCGGTTTTCTCCTTACTGGACCTCTAGGAAGAACAGCTTAGAACTGATAGAGCAGTCTAACCTATGCCACCCTAATACATATACATATACCTTACATTTGACCATTAACAATGGTACTTAAGTCTACTAGAGAAAACTTCAGAATGATAGGGATGCAATTACAATACCTGAAAAATACAAGCCTGAGAACTTAGACATATTGCGTGAAGATCCCTTTCTCGGGTAGTTGCATACTTGCATCCATATCATTCCAAACTTTTTCTTTGAAGATTATATCACTAGTCTACTAGACTAGACTTCTATTATATATAGGGTACCGCGGATATATATTTTTGAAATGATGCTACTCCAAGTGTGTCCACACCGGCAAGCTGGGAACTTTCCTTGACCACGGTGGGAATCAAACCTATATACATGCATGTATAATATATCAATTAAAGGAATTAGATTAAGTTCTGAAATATTACCTACTCAAACCAAATGACCTTTTAGCTCAGTTGTTAGAGCATTGGACTAGCAAACCATCACAGTCAAGCAATAGGGTGTCCTCCAGTCTGGAAAGTTCGCAACAGTGAACACGCTGCCGAGAACTCGGGTGCGCAGTTTAGATGTTCCAAATGTATGTACTATTAAATTGTTGTAATCTCAGACGTGCAATTTCCAAACTTTCCAGTCTAGGGTACCTGGCATATACAGTAGGTGAATAGGGTACCCTGGACCGATATATATTTTTGAAATGATGCTACTCTGGCTCTCTGAGTGTGCCCAAACCGGGTGGACCCATGGTGGGAATCAAACCTGCAACCTTAGGTTAGCAAGACCAGCATTCTAGCATTATCCCAAATAACTTTACCTATAAATACTATATACATGCATGATGTATACTGTCGCATACAATTAATAAAGGAATTAGATTAAGTTCTAAAATATCACCTACTCGAACCAAATAACCTAAAAGCTCAATTGGTAGAGCGTTGGACTAGCAAACCAAAGGTTGCAGGTTCAATCCCCATCACAGTCAAGCAAACTTTACAGCCTGCACTGTGGACACATGAGTAGAATCATCTCAGCGCCATTATAATTTTTAATATTTAATTTTTAAACACTTTATACACAAACGATACCTTATCATAAGCCTGTATAATTTTTCTCGCTCCTCTAATATTGAACTCATCTTTTAGCCGATCAAAACGACAATAAATATGCAATAAATATGGTAAAAAGTTAAAATGTATACTTTTGAAATCTCGTGGGAATACTAATGGTTCGAAAATATTCTAAATTCAATGATCTGTGCTTCCATTATACATAACATGAAATCTTACCAAATTTTCACAAAATATTCTACAATGAAACAAAATGTTAGTAAAAATTGGTTCATATCCAATTATTGATATAAACAAACAAATTATCTCCATTATATAATATACAGAGCCCTACACCAAATAATTTTATTTTGAAAATTAAAACTAATTTAACTATTAATGAAATCCAAACTGTTCCCAAAAGTTCCCATTTTCCCAACAGGGAATTTTTCTTGCAAAGTGGAAGCGCTGAAATCGACAAATATGCAAACCACTTCCGGTTCTAAAAAGTATCGATTGTTATTATTGTCGATTTTATATAAACGAAGTAACTATCAGAATTTATTGCCTGAAATATGAAATAATTTCCCTTCAAAATGGCCACACGGAGTAGAGTCGAGGTGGAGGAGCTCTCCCAAACACGGGGACAAGATGAAATCGAAAAAGGAAAAGTTGGCGAAGGTATTTTCTCGAGATTTTTCAAAAAAATGTTTGATTCTTTTGATTGTGAAAACGATTTATACATGTTGCTGTTCGGCATAAATTTAGGTGTTTGTTAAAATCGAGACGTTTGGTTTTTTTGGCCAGTGTTATTTCTCGTAGTACTCTTTTTTTTCAAACATGCATTTGTTAATGGTTTTTTAACTTTCTGTATTTACAAATCTATGAACCAATTATAGCTATTAATATATTAATTGATATACCATATATTAAGTGTCATTGACACTTTCAAATTTGCTAAAAGCACGTTGGAATGTGTCAAAATATACAGTATATGTAAACAGGTTTTCTGTAATGGGAAAACTTCGTGTTTGTTGTATAAACTTTTAAAATGGTGAACAGGGTACCAGTATATGATGTGTGCTGAAATTATCAATAAATTGTGGTGAGTTTGATTATATGAATGAGTTAATTGTGATATTGACTTTATAATATCGTGATCAAGCTGGGTAAATTGGCCTTTCAACAATAATACTAGATGGCTATCTTATAAACATAAAATGGAATAAATTTACATTACCAATTTTACATTTACAAGCTTCTATGAGTTGTGCATTTTAAAGAGTATGCTTCAAAATGTTTCTCCCTCAATCGAAACTTTTTGTTTTGCTCATTAAATAACATTTGTAGGTGTGGTATCAAACAAATTGTTTTGCATGCGACATTTTTACCTTTGCCTGTTTCATTATATGAGGGTGTTGATGCCTTGATGGGGTACATAGTGAGTTGTGATTCACTCAATTTGGGTTACTGTCAGTTGTGAAAACACTAAAAATTTAGCGTGAATCGTGAGGAAAAAGACACTTTTCAAAGATTTACCGTTAAAATACCAAATGTTAATACCAAGACTTTTACTGTTTACCGACTTTCACACCCCCATCTGGACCAGTGCCATAGCAAGCTCGATAATTGGAGGGACTGATATTCATATATTTGTGTTCTGCGTTATTAATTTCTTTTGAAATCGATTGTTTTTATGGTCTGTGAACACGAATATATGAATATTAGTGCCCCCCCCCAATTATCGAGCTTGCTACGGCACTGTAGACCCTCTTATATGGACTCTATTGCAGCAAAATAGCTCCATTAATAAAGAACAAAGTGACAGTGAGTATCCTTCAACTATGGGATTGCGTCAGATGCCAACAAAATTGTGATATACTGGCAAAATTCGCTCTTCGCTGGCCAAGATGGGTGAATTCCTGCCCAGAGCCTAAAGTTGCATTTTTTGCAGCTGTCCCTGGTTAGGTGTAATAAATTGTATATACATTTCTACTCAATAACACCCTTAAACTATTGAATTGAGTTACTTTTACAGCTACTTTTAAAGATGTGGTGAAGTCTGTTCTGCACATGTGCTATGTATAAGGGCCCTCTGATGTAAACAATACCCAAATTTCTCTTTGTTTTGACATCTTCTAAATTGAAAACCTAATCTATATTTATTTAAAAGCATAGCAGACCAGAAAGATGTTAGATATTAACTCCCGGTATGTGCATTATATTTTAAGAATATAGTATCTTCAAAATGTGAGTGGAGGGAGTGTGAATCGTTTCTGGAATGACCAAATATTTTTTATTTGTGACTGTCCATTTCTCAGTTGCGAAAAATATATAATTGCATAGAATTACAAAACTAAAACCATCCAACGATATTACATTGGAAGACTCAAAAAGTCCTTCTCATAGTGTCTTAATACCACCATTATTTTATGTACTCAATGTGTACCTATTTTTTAGCTTTACAAAAATTCCAAGTCCATGAAGACACAGCCATAGCTTATAAGATGCAATCTGCAGAATGTAAGTAGAATCATTTTAAGTGGAGTTGTGTGTTTCCAGAAATTTCATCTCGGTTCCGGTCTTTTGGGGGTGAAAGAACCTCGGCTTGGTGTTGGTTTCTGTATTTTCAAGATAAGGACAATTCAAAGCATTTGCTCAATAAATTGTAATATAACATGAAAGTAAATAACTTATTTGATATGTGGGATGGACTTGTGAAATAAATATATTCTAAATAAAATTATGAAAAAAATGTCTTGTTTGCACCTGTCGACATTTTGTTATTTTTCCGACACGAAGCTGCGACACGTCGGGAAGCGAAACTATCACTTCTTTTGTGCATGCTCAGTACTCTCCCCTTGACAAGTAAATTCATCTGGTATTAGACAGAGTAAAATAAAAAAACAGGATTCATCAAATCAAGGTGTATTGCCACTTAAAGGGTTAAACTCAAGATACTTAGCCATTGAAACAATTCAAGGTGATATTTTCGACTCTATTTTAGGTTTGCAATATTTTACCTAATCTGGATCCAATTATTCATAAGATCATGTAATTCTCATTACCCCCCCCCTAAAAGACCACGCCCATTATTTGCAAAATATCTAACAAACCGCCGCCTTCTCCATTTTCGCATTCAGATAAGAATCACGTGTCCCGTAATAAGGAACAGAGGAAGTCTGTACGTGCTGGTGTCAGGACGGCAAAAGAAACATATCTTGACGAAGTGAGGAATGCTGGGATACTTCCTGACAACAGTGTCGCTGAAATGTAAGATTAAATACCCGTTTACACTTGCCATTTTTGCTGCGATTTTAGGTACGATCTTCTTCTGATGGATGTAAAGGCCCTGTCACACTATTGCGTATCGTACTAGCGTATTCCAGCGTATGAAAAATATCACTCATACGCTGGAAGACGCTGACATACGCTAGGGGTACGTTAGGCATAGGTTGTATACGTTTCAAGCACGGTCGCATACGCTGGCGTACGGCGAGGCAGAAAATTTTTTTAAGCATGTTCAAAAATTTTGTGCGTATCGGACGTATGCTTTATACGATAAGCATACTCTAGGCACACGCTGAATACGCTAGAGGTACGACAGATGTACGATACTCATACGCTGGCATTTCAAAGGATTTTTGTGCGTATGAAAATTATTTCATTAATTTCCATACGCTTCTCATACGTTTCTCTCATATGCAATAGTGTTACAGGGCCTTGAACGAGTGGATGGGTTATGAATGATCAGACGAGTGCAAGGCTGGATTTTGGTGGAAATAGTGGGGGAGGTGGAAAAAATTAAGGGGAGGTGCAGCGGTCTAGCTCAGCCCCCATGGAAAGTTAGGGCTAAGGGCTTAGAACGGGCCAAAGTCGACGACGTGACATACGCATGTAGTATACAATCATAAAGTATATATATATCAGTCTATTAATGAATTATGACTGTACATTCAACTCATCCAATTTTACCCTTTATTACAATTGCTACAAAGTTTCTTTCAAAACATTGCATTAAAAGGGTGACTTGACACAGAGATGAATGGCTATCACTGTTTCAATTATACAGAAAAACTTTCTTACGACGAAGTGTGCGCACCTCCCCGGCCCTCCCATCAAAATCTGGCTATGGACGAGGGTCTTCTCGTTCGCATCCTTCAGAAGATAAAAATCGCGCTAGAAATCGCAGCAAAAATTGCAAGTGTAAACTGGCCTCACTTTTACTATATAGAATAAGAAGAAAAGATAGGTCGATACATTAAGATGGACTATTAGCTCGTTTATGCACAACTAACACACTTGGGTGCGTAGTTCGCCTTGACGGATCGTTTGGACGAACATTGAACATCAAGAAAGCTGTGTAGTAGTCATGTACCGATATCCATATCGGTACATCGCCCCCAAATTCAAAGTATCGGTATCTTTGTTACCGATATTATCGGTATTGTATTTGTGATGTTACTCTGAGTGTGTATCCACACTGGGCGAGCTTGAAAAATATGCCCGGCCACGGTGGGATTTGAACCTACGACCTTTGGAATACTAGCCCAATGCTCTTCCAACTGAGCTACGCGGTCAGGACGGTTCGAATAAGTGATATTTCGGAACAGAATCTAGTTCCTTCGATACCAGTGTACTCTTGTAATATGATTTTTTTTCTGTGTTGGTGTTGTGTACTCAGGTGAATATGATATTTGTGATGTTACTCTGAATGTGTATCCACACCGGGCGAGCTTGAAAAATATGCCCGGCCACGGTGGAATAGAGAGTAACATCACAAATATCATAGACCTGAGTACACAACACCAACACAGAAAAAAAAATCATATTACAAGATTACACTGGTATCGAAGGAACTAGATTCTGTTCCGAAATATCACTTACTCGAACCGTCCTGACCGCGTAGCTCAGTTGGAAAAGCATTGGGCTAGTATTCCAAAGGTCGTAGGTTCGAATCCCACCGTGGCCGGGCATATTTTTCAAGCTCGCCCGGTGTGGATACACACTCAGAGTAACATCACAAATATCATATTCACCTGAGTACACAACACCAACACAGAAAAAAATCATGGTATTGTATTATTAACAAATTTATACTGTGCAATATATTTTAAATTTAAAGTATATTTTGGATTCCAATTTGGTTGTAACGCAGCTCAGTCACCCATAAGTTCATTAATCATTATATAGCCATGTTCAAAGATATTCTCAAATATCTGTACAATATTGTCAAATATATCAAATGTATATACAGTACATGTATATGATAAGCAGTGGCGTAACTACTATGGGCTCAGACCGGGTGAACCCGGGGGCCCCCAACCAAATGGGGGCCCCCAGGCTTAGGTGATAGGGCAAAAACATTGGCCAGGGCCTCTGATATGTTACAATGTCGTTTTATGACCATCAGAATTCTGTAAAATCTCTCCCCAAAGTCCAGGAAATGGCATTTCAGAGAGTCAAGATTCAAAAATTTTCCGGATGACCATGCCCTGGACCCCCTAGAAAACTCGTGCATATACAGCGCTCGACTCGTGCCTTTGGCACGTCTACTAGGGGGGCCTTCGAAAATTTTGAACCGGGGGCCCCTTGATGTAACGTTACGCCACTGATGATAAGTGCTAATGCATGATTGGCTACTCTCAACTCACATGCAGTTATGATGAAGTCAATTGACATTTATGAATTTCCAAGTAAAATAGAATATCGGTACTGGTTATCGGTCGGCTCTTGAATATCGGTTAATATATCGATAAATTTCCATATCGGTACATCATTACTGCGTAGTCCGTCCTAGTGCTTACATGCGTGCTGTTGTGGTGGTGTAAGAGAGTTCAGATGAGACTTCCATTACCTCTAACTGGCTGACTGCAGTACGCATCCGATTGGCCAATCTGACATATCAAACGCATCTAATTGGTTCGTCGTTGCGGTAGTTGAACTCAAATCCGAACTTCTCTGTTATTCCAGTTGAATCTAAATGAAATTCTATAAGAATGTAAATGAAACACATGTTGATATATTTCAGAGAACAAAAGCAGTGGCTAGCAGAAGAATTACATAAAAGAATTGAGGAACAGGAACAATTAGCCAGGACAGAACAGGAAATACAAAGGCTGAAAGATGAGGTAATCACCTTTTGATCTCTTGGTTTGTTTTGAACTACCAGAGAAAGATTAAGAATATTAGGATCAAGAGTGAAAATAGAACTTGTCCACAGATGAAATGCTTTCGCTTGTGTAAATTTCAATCCAATAAAAAGGTTCTAGCAATAAAAAGGTACTTATTACGTAATTTCAGCTGCTGACGTGCTCAGCGTTCGATAATAGTTTTTTGGATCGAACTTGCATTCAATAAAAATTATTGGGCGCTGTCGTGCCCAAGTTCCACCGCGGCCAACAACTCAAATTCAAAAGCGCGAGAAAATAAAATAAACGACATGGCTCACAGTGATATACTTGAAACATTAACAAACTTCGTTTTAGAGGAGAATCTTTTATATCTCACGTAATACGCGCTCAAAACTAATGAATATATGCTTTTGTTACTATATTCATTTTTTTACATTTTTTATACGTTTCTCAAACGACAAACAAACTTAAAAAGTATGTTTGATACCTTATCTATAAATTTATGCTAAAATGAATAGATTTTAGATCGTACGCTAAAGAGAAAATGATGTCTGAAGTTCTGTAAGTTTTGCTTATATATTGCTGTATAAATATGGCGTCATTTTTGAAGCATCATTGATAATTGTATTTAAATTGACAATTTTTTACTATTATGTTAGTATGAACTTTTTCTGTGTTGGTGTAGTGTACTCAGGTGAATATGATATTTGTGGTGTTACTCTGAGTGTATATCCACACCGGGCGAGCTTGAATGAGTAACACCACAAATATCATATTCACCTGAGTACACTACACCAACACAGAAAAAGTTCATATTACTAGAATACATTGGTATCGAAGGAACTAGATTCTGTTCCGAAATATCACTTACTCCAACCGTCCTGACCGCGTAGCTCAGTTGGAAGAGCATTGGGCTAGTATTCCAAAGGTCGTAGGTTCGAATCCCACCGTGGCCGGGCATATTTTTCAAGCTCGCCCGGTGTGGATACACACTCAGAGTAACATCACAATTATCATATTCACCTGAGTACACAACACCAACACAGAAAAATTCATATTACAAGATTACACTGGTATCGAAGGAACTGGATTCTGTTCCGAAATATCACTTACTCGAACCGTCCTGACCGCGTAGCTCAGTTGGAAGAGCATTGGGCTAGTATTCCAAAGGTCGTAGGTTCGAATCCCACCGTGGCCGTGCATATTTTTCAAACTCGCCCGGTGTGGATATGCACTCAGAGTAACATCGCATACATATTATTCACCTGAGTACACAACACCAACACAGAAAATATTCATATTACTAGAACACATTGGTATTGAAGGAACTAGATACTGTTCCGAAATATCACTTACTCGAACCGTCCTGACGGCGTAGCTCAGTTGGAAGAGCATTGGGCTGGTATTCCAAAGGTCGTAGGTTCGAATCCCACCGTGGCCGGGCATATTTTTCAAGCTCGCCCGGTGTGGATATGCACTCAGAGTAACATCGCAAACATATTATTCACCTGAGTAAACAACACCAACACAGAAAAAATTCATATTACTAGAACACATTGGTATTGAAGGAACTAGATACTGTTCCGAAATATCGCTTACTCGAACCGTCCTGACCGCGTAGCTCAGTTGGAAGAGCATTGGGCTAGTATTCCAAAGGCCGTAGGTTCGAATCCCACCGTAGCCGGGCATATTTTTCAAGCTCGCCCGGTGTGGATATGCACTCAGAGTAACATCGCAAACATAACTATAATCTGCTTTCAAATTCCCAACACGGATTCAGACCACTTCACTCAACTGTTACATGAGCATGGGCGTACCGGAAGGAAAAAATTAGGAGAGCGGAAAGAAATTTGCCCGACTTTTTCGGATTGTGCCCGACCAGTGCCGAAATTTTTTTTCCGGAACAATTAATTTTGGCGACCTCCTCCCCCGACGCCAAAACATTTTCGGTCAGTGTACCATTTTAGGGTTTGGCTTTGTTTGCCCAACAAACTGGGGGTTATTATTAAGAGAGATTTTATTGTTTTGACTACTTTTTTGGCTTTTTAATTTCCCACTCTTCGCCCGACTTATGTTGAACATTTGCCCGACTTTTCGACTTTGTAATCTTTTTTTTT